AGGCTGACGATTTTGAGGAAAAAAAAACAATATTTTGGACTTTTTGCTATAAAACATGTCCAGTAAAAAAAATGCAAAAATCAAATTTAGTCATAAATTTCTGCCAAAATGCATTCTGCGACATGTCTTTGCTAAAAAAAATCCCAATACGTGTAAATTAATTGGTTTACGTGAAAGTTATAGCGTTTACAAATGGCGGGAAAGATACTGGGATTTTTAATTTTTATTTATACTAATAATGGCGCCGATCAGCGACATATAGCGGCAATCAGCGACATATGACAGCGACCAGAGACTTATGGCGGGACTGCGGACATTTTGACACTGGGGGGGAACTGACATGGGGTCACTGACATCCTCAGTGACACCAATACAGTGATCAGTGAAAACATTTTTAGAATTTGCTGTGTAAGGGGAGTGTTTTACTAGGGGGCTGGGGGGGTGTGTGTACTGGATGGGGGGAGGGAGGGGGGAGCTGATCGAGGGAGAGAAACTCTTCTCTCCCTCTGCAGCTTGTCGGCGAACTGTCACAGAGCAGGGCTGTGTGTAAACAATGCAGCCCTGCTCTGTCAGTGATCACCGCTCATCGCGGGAAAACGTCCGGTAAAAAACCGGCCGTGACCCAGCGGCGGAGACCTGCTGCTGACACCTGCGGGACAGGTAGGGCGGGGCGCGCGCCTTGCGCGCGCCCCCTACCTGTTTTGAAGGTAGTCGTTTTAAAACGTACTTTTGCCTACGAGCGCCGCCCTGCCGCCGTTTATATGCGGTGGCTGGGCGGCAAGTGGTTAATGGTTCCGGCCAATTGTTGTTTATTAATGGTTCTGGACAATTGTTGTTTATTAATAGTTCCGGCAATTTCTTGTTTATTAATGGTTCCAGCCAATTGTTGTTTATTAATGGTTATGGCCAATTGTTGTTTCCATTTATTATTTTGTACTTTGGCCAATTGTTGTTTATTAATTGTTCTGGCCAATTTCACTGGCCATTTAATATTTTTTACTTTGGCTGATTGTTGTTTATTAATGGTTCCGGACAATTGTTCTTTATTAATGGTTCCGGCAAATTGCTGTTTCTATTTATTATTTTTTACTTTGGCCAATTGTTGTTTTTTAATGGTTCCGCCCATGTTTTTTGCCCATTTATTATTTTTTACTCTGGCCAATTGTAGTTTATTAATGGTTCCGCCCAACTGTTGTTTATTAATGGTTCTGGACAATTGTTGTTTATTAATGGTTCTGAACAATTGTTGTTTATTAATGGTTCCGGCCAATTGTTGTTTATTAATGGTTCTGGACAATTGTTGTTTATTAATAGCTCCGGCCAATTGTTGTTTATTAATGGTTCCTGCCAATTGTTGTTTATTAATGGTTCCGGCCAATTGTTGCTTCCATTTATTATTTTTTACTTTTGCCAATTGTTGTTTATTAATGGTTCTGGCCAATTTCTCTGGCCATTTATTATTTTTTACTTTGGCCGATTGTTGTTTATTAATGGTTCCGGCAAATTGCTGTTTCTATTTATTATTTTTTACTTTGTCCAATTGTTGTTTATTAATGCTTCCGCCAAAATTTTGTGGCCATTTATTATTTTTTACTTTGGCCAATTGTTGTTAATTAATGGTTCCGCCCAACTATTGTTTATTAATGGTTCTGGACAAATGTTGTTTATTAATGGTTCTGGACAATTGTTGTTTATTAATAGTTCCGGCCAATTATTGTTTATTAATAGTTCTGAACAATTGTTGTTCATTAATGGCTCTGGACAATTGTTGTTTATTAATAGTTCCGGCCAATTATTGTTTATTAATGGTTCTGTCCAATTGTTGTTTATTAATGGTTCCGGCCAATTGTTGTTTATTAATGGTTCCGGCCAATTGTTGTTTCCATTTATTATTTTTTACTTTGGCCAATTGTTGTTTATTAATGGTTCTGGCCAATTTTTCTGGCCATTTATTATTTTTTATTTTGGCCGATTGTTGTTTATTAATTGTTCCGGCCAATTGTTCTTTATTAATGGTTCTTGCCAATATTTGTTTATTAATGGTTCTGGCCAATTGTTGTTTATTAATGGTTCCAGCCAATTGTTGTTTATTAATGGTTCCAGCCAATTGTTGTTTATTAATGGTTCCGGCCAATTGTTGTTTATTAATGGTTACGGCCAATTGTTGTTTCCATTTATTATTTTTTACTTTGGCCAATTCTTGTTTATTAATGGTTCTTGACAATTTTTGTGGCCATTTATTTTTTTTTACTTTGGCCGATTGTTGTTTATTAATGGTTCCGGCCAATTTTTCTTTATTAATGGTTCTTGCCAATTGTTGTTTATTAATGGTTTCGGCCAATTGTTGTTTATTAATGGTTCCGGCCAATTGTTGTTTCCATTTATAATTTTTTACTTTGGCCAATTGTTATTTATTAATGGTTCCGGACAATTGTTGTTTCCATTTATTATTTTTTACTTTGGCCAATTGTTTTTTTTTAATGGTTCCGGCCAATTGTTGTTTCCATTTATAATTTTTTACTTTGGCCAATTGTTGTTTTTTAATGGTTCTGGCCAATTGTTGTTTCCATTTATTATTTTTTACTTTGGCCAATTGTTGTTTATTAATGGTTCCGGACAATTGTTGTTTGTTAATGGTTCTGGCCAATTTTTGTGGCCATTTATTATTTTTTACTTTGGCCAATTGTTGTTTATTAATGGTTCCGGATAATTGTTGTTTATTAATGGTTCTGGCAATTTTTGTGTTTATTTATTATTTATTTTTTTACTTTGGTCAATTGTTTAATAATGGTTCCGACCAATTGTTGTTTATTAATGGTTCTGGCCAATTGTTGCTTATTAATGGTTCCGGCCAATTGTTGTTTCCATTTATTATTTTTTACTTTGGCCAATTGTGGCCACTGCTTGCATACTCATCCGCGGTGATCTGATCTGTGGTGCCTTTTTTATTGTTGTTTTTTGTTAACCATTTGAATACCCGGCAATTTTACACCTTCCTGCCCAGGCCATTTTTCAGGTCTCAGCGCTCTCACACTTTGAATGACAATTGCGCGGTCATACAACATTGTACCCAAACTAAAATTTTATCATTTTCTTCACAAAACTAGAGCTTTCTTTTGGTGGTATTTAATCACCTCTGGGATTTTTTTTTTTTGCTAAATTAACCAAAAATGACCAAAATTCTGAAAAAACACACATTTTTCTTTGTTTCTGTTATAAAAGTTGCAAATAAATAATTGTTCTTCATAAATTTAGGCCAAGATGTATTCTGCTACATGTCTTTGGTGAAAATAACCCAAATTAGGATGCATTTTTTAGTTTGTAGGAAAGTTATAGAGTTCACAAACTATGGTATAGATCTGAATATTGATCAATCCTGAAGTACTAACAGCCAATCTAATTTCTTGAGGTCCAAGAATGTCACAACAGTAACGATATCCCCCAAATGACCCCTTTTTTGCAAAGTAGACAGTCCAAGGTACTTCATAAGAGGCATGGCGAGTTTTTTGAAGTTGTATTTTTTTTGTCATAATTTTTTGGAAAATGAAAAAATAAAAAAAATTAGTTTCACTCTTTTTTTTTTACATAGTTTCACCAGTGAAGTACAGCGTCATCATATAACTGGCATGGCGGTGATCAGGGACACTGACTGGTGACAGTATGAAAAAAAATATATATATTTTTTTTTTATATATATTTTTTATTTTATATTAATTTTTTTTCTTTTTTTTAAGATTTTTTTTTCATATTTCACTATGACCAAAGTAGTACAATATTACCATAGTAACATTGTACTACTTTTAGGAAGTGATCAGTATTTTTTTTTTTACACAATTTGCTTACAGCAAAGAATTACTTTGCTATAAGCAAGCATTTACCTGAATGACATCGATTCATTCAGGGGGGTTTTTTTTTTGTGCTTAGCTGTGATTTGGCCACAGCTAATCACATGACATGTGCATGTGATTAGCTGTGACCATTCACAGCTATACACTAGTATACAATGGATAGCATGAATGAAGCCATCCATTGTATACAACTGTCATGTGACCTGCTGTGATTGGTCATAGCAGGTCACATGGTACCGGCAACGGGGGCCGATACTCAGATCTGTCATCGGCCGTGTCCGAGGTACACGGCCGGTGACAGATCGCGCCGCTGCGCGGCTCTGCTGGAGCGCAATCTGCGCATGTGCGGGAGGACGCCATATGGCGTCCATCCAGAACGCTGATGACATTTGCCGGCCGCCATTCGGCCGCGGCATCATTTTAAAGGGTGTCTCAGGACCGTCCATCATTTTAAAGGGTGCCTTGGGACTGTCCATCATTTTAAAGGGTGCCTCGGGACTGTCCATCATTTTAAAGGCTTTCTCGGGACTGTCCATCATTTTAAAGGGTGCCTCAGAACCGTCCATAATTTTAAAGGGTGTCTCGGGACAGTCCATCTGTCCATCATTTTAAAGGGTGTCTTGGGCCCGTCCATCATTTTAAAGGGTGTCTCGGAACAGTCCATCATTTTAAAGGGTGCCTTGGGACTGTCCATAATTTTTAAAGGGTGCCTTGGGACTGTCCATAATTTTTAAAGGGTGCCTTGGGACTGTCCATCATTTTAAAAGGTGTCTCTGGACCGTCCATCATTTTAAAGGGTGCCTTGGGACTGTCCATAATTTTTAAAGGGTGCCTTGGGACTGGCCATCATTTTAAAAGGTGTCTCTGGGACCGTCCATCATTTTAAAGGGTGCCTCGGGACCGCCCATCGTTTTAAAGGGTGCCTCGGGCCTGTCCATAATTTTAAAGGGTGCCTCGGGACTGTCCATCGTTTTAGAGGGTGCCTCGGGGCAGCCCATCGTTTTTTAGAGGATGCTTGGAACTTTCCATCATTTTAAAGGGTGTCTCTGGACCGTCCATCATTTTAAAGGGTGCCTCGGGACCGCCCATCATTTTAAAGGTGTGCCTCGGGACTGTCCATCATTTTAAAGGGTGCCTCGGGACTGTCCATAATTTTAAAGGGTGCCTCGGGACTGTCCATAATTTTAAAGGGTGCCTTGCGACTGTCCATAATTTTAGAGGGTGCTCGGAACTGTCCATCATTTTAAAGGGTGTCTCGGGGCCATCCATCATTTTAAAGGGTGGCTTTGGACTGTCCATCATTTTAAAGGGTTTCTCCGGACTGTCCATCATTTTAAAGGGTGCTCGGAATTGTCCATCATTTTAAAGGGTGTCTTGGGACCGTCCATCATTTTAAAGGGTGTCTCAGAACAGTCCATCATTTTAAAGGGTGCCTTGGGACTCCATAATTTTGAAAGGGTGCCTTGGGATTGTCCATCATTTTAAAAGGTGTCTCTGGACCGTCCATCATTTTAAAGGGTGGCTATGGACTGTCCATCATTTTAAAGGGTGGCTATTGTTGACCAAATCTATGGAATATGAAATATAATATTTCTCTGATATGATTTGATTAACCTTAATGAGAGTTCTTTGACCAAGAGTGAAAGGTTTAACACAACAACCAAAATTTATTGGTGAATAGTAGGGAGGTCTAAACTAACATACCACAATCTAGCTATTTAACAATAAGAAAAAGAGAAACAAAATGTATATGATTCACCCAATGAATTAAAGCATATACTATTCATACCCTAAACCCACAAACAGCAAGACAGACAACACATACAACAATCATGTATACATATAAGTGCCAGAGAAATGTCCTGATATTTACCAATGGTGTAGCATGGGGGCCCCCAGGATCGGTGTATCTTCTC